GTTGGAGGTAAGGTTGGGGAGCAGAGAGTGTTCCTACATCTCTGTGAATTCTGCTGATAACTGCGTTGTTTCTTTAAGCAAATCATATAGTTTGAGTTGTTTTGCTGATGATATTATACAACTTTGATTCTAAGTAACACTACATAAACATTTTCTTTTTTTTTAACATTGGTCTTTTCTAAAATGGCGTCCCTGGGTGGGGCAGGTTGTTAATGGAAAGGTTGGAAGTCACATCAACACAGAGGCCGCTCAGAAGCCAGGGAGAAACCTTATGGAGCACAGGGATCCGATCCTGTGGTGCAGGGGTCGTTGTGCGTCGGGACCAACTCCCAGCCACTACAGAAGTTTTTCTGGAATGGTCTGGGGGAGTGTTCCACAACTGAAGCTTTTGTTCAAGGTCTCTCCTCCACCCCACCCCCTGGAAAGTGGTTGTTAAATTGCTGGAAGGTTGTAGAGTCAGATGGATGGTAATTCGACCTCACAAAACAATGCTGCAAGGATGTAAGGAGATAATGTTGGTGAAAAGATCATTGTAAACCATAAACATTATTCACGAGTAAGACACCAGTTTCCAATTGTCCTGGAAAAGCATATAAGTAGATAAGCCAACTGTATATGCTGAGGTACCGTATATACTTGAGTAAAATTAGGTGCCTCAGCTTATATATTCGATAGGCATATACTCGAGCATCTACGGTAATGGTTTTGTGTAGGAAAAAGAGGATGTATTGTAAAGACACTCTGAACTCGGCGGAGTGTACTCATGTATGTACCACTCTTGGGTAGCTTTTCTCCCTTGTGAAACTGGTTACTTTTTGTTGATTTTTTCCCCTTGCACAACGGTAGGGCACAGGTATGGATTTTCACTCTAGAGATTATTTTCTCTTCCACCTTTTACCTCTGGCAAGTGAACCTTAATTTGTCCGAGGCTGGTTTGCCTCATCAGTGATGGATTTAGCCATGAAGTGGTCAGGCTCAATGATTGCATGAGGCGGATTCCATAGTCGTGAATTATAGTTCATATGTGTTCCTAATGTGTCCGGGCAACCCTGGACAAAAATGTACCCCACTTTCCTCATCTCTAAAACAAGACCAGGTAACCTTGAAAGGCTCGTCCAGCCCCATTTGCCTAGTGCTTCATAGGAATTTGTATCTGGGTCCCCACGTTGCAGGCTGGGGATGTGAGGAACAGTATAGGGAGACATGGACGCGCTGCTTGGAGGCTTTGGTCCCAGATTCACCGTGTCTGTCCTTTTAGGGAACATCCCTGGCTCAGCTGTGCTGGTGTTTGACATCCACGTGATCGACTTCCACAACCCCTCGGACTCCATCAGCATCACCTCCCACTATAAGCCCTCCGACTGCTCAGTGCTGAGTAAGAAAGGGGATTACCTCAAGTATCACTACAATGCCTCCCTCCTGGACGGGACTCTGCTGGACTCCACGTAAGGGTCACTCGGGAGCGGTGTGGGA